GATGAGGAGGGAATGAGGGGAAGGGGAAAGATAGGGAGTAGGGGCAAAGAAATAAAAAATTATCAAGACTTACTACATATATGTACCAACTCCCCAATACAAATGTAACTCATATAGTGCAAACACATTAATAAAGTAGACATAGCAATACTTCATAATTTAAGATATACTAAAAATTTACAAAATTTTTATGTATTATAGGCACCAAGCAGACATTACTAGAGAAACATGGATGAAGTCGGAAATCTGACAATATCGCCTGCCAGTAATAACACGTGCTATGACAGTATTGATGACTTCCGCAATCAAGTGTATTCTACCTTGTATTCTATGATCTCTGTTGTGGGTTTCTTTGGCAATGGCTTTGTGCTCTACGTTCTTGTAAAAACAAATCATGAGAAATCAGCCTTCCAAGTATATATGATTAATTTAGCTATAGCTGATCTATTGTGTGTGTGCACACTGCCTCTTCGTGTGGTTTATTATGTTCACAAAGGCATTTGGCTCTTTGGTGACTTCCTATGCCGTCTCAGCACCTATGCCTTGTATGTCAATCTCTATTGTAGCATCTTCTTCATGACAGCAATGAGCTTTTTCCGGTGCATTGCAATTGTTTTCCCAGTTCAAAACATTAATTTAGTTACACAGAAACAAGCCAGGTTTGTGTGTGTTAGCATTTGGATGTTTGTGATTTTGACCAGTTCTCCATTTTTAATGGCCAAAACTTACCAAGATGAGAAAAACAATACCAAGTGCTTTGAGCCTCCACAAAACAATCAAGCTAAAAATCATATTTTGGTCTTGCATTATGTGTCGTTGTTCATTGGCTTCATCATCCCTTTCATCACTATAATTGTTTGTTACACAATGATCATTTTTACTTTACTAAAAAGTTCAGTGAAGAAAAATCTGTCAAGTCGTAAAAGGGCTATAGGAATGATCATAGTTGTGACAGCTGCATTTTTAATCTGCTTCATGCCATATCATATTCAACGCACTATCCACCTTCATTTTTTACACAATGAAACTAAACCCTGTGATTCTGTCTTGAGAATGCAGAAGTCAGTGGTTATAACGTTGTCTCTGGCTGCATCAAATTGTTGCTTTGACCCTCTCCTCTATTTCTTTTCAGGGGGGAACTTTAGAAAAAGGCTGTCTACATTTAGAAAGCATTCTTTGTCCAGCATGACTTACGTACCTAAGAAAAAGGCTTCCTTACCAGAAAAAGGAAAGGAAACATGTAAAGAATAGTTTAAGCCCATCTCCAGTGCAAATCAATGCAAATAATTCATCAAGTATTTTCTCGAGTCATTTATAATAAAATGAAATTTTCTATTAATAATTTACAAATACTTAATTGACTATGTGTGCCTATGAATCTTTCTTATTTATGCATTTCATTATTAGATATATTAAGTGTTAAAAATTCAATCCACAACTATGGGCTAAATTATAAACAATTGTTTGACCATTCACCAGAAGGTGAAGAATATTTGTGTTTTTGCAGTGTAAAACTTGTAACTAAGATCAAGATTTTCTTTCTCAAATAAGTTTTATGAAGGATAATAACTAGACTTTTAAGACATACAGTTAGCAAGTAATTCTCAATCATCCTAACATATTCTTTTGCATGCATGCCATCAGATGTGATCTGGAGATAACCCAGGAGCTGCATAAAATTTATTGCAGCATTGTGCTTTGTACTGACCAGCTGGGAAAAGTAGGGCTGTTTCTTCCAGAAAAGAATGTACAAAAGCTAGACCAGACTAGTATTCAACCAAATGGTCCTAAAGATACCATATAATGTATATTCTGGAAACTGAGGAAAATAAACCTGATAAAAAGGTCAGCTTGTCTCCAATTTTCTTCAGCACCTACCTCAGGTCTGCTGAAGAGAATAGTGGCATCTTTGAGGTTCCTAGTGAGATTTCTATAAGGAACTGTCTCTTTACATGACATACAGTCCTCAAGAAGCCAGACAACTGGTATTCCCATATATGAACAGAAGTAATTAAAAATTTATCTGAAGAAAAACAAAAGGGGTTTACTTTTCTACATGCCTATTACTAGGATCAAAATTAACTACAAAGGATCTCTAAAGAAAATTTTGAATGTCCATGTTACAAATTCTTTCAAGTGCATACATTTATGTGCATGTGTATAACTATATGTAAGAGATTTTGTTCTTTCATATGAATTTGCGAGTGAAAGTTATAAGCTTTATTATAGTTTCATGCTTTTTGCTTTTTATTGGCATGTTGACAGGAATATCAAAGATATTTTAAAATATTTTTATCTTACAGTAGAAGCTCTGTTTTTGAAATGATGAAAACTTGGTTATGGCTAAAATATGATATTCCTGGGCAAACTTTGGCTAAACTGCAGTGTTTTCCTCAACTTTGTGTTTAAAAAAGCATGTTACCTCAGAAAAAATAAGCAATAATAGTGAAGAAAAAAAGGACAACTCCAAAGAAGGTGTTCTTTTTGAATCTGCTTCATATATATTATTTCTATTTCATTTCTAATATTACTGTCCCAGAAAAAATCACAAAGCATAAAAGAACTCCAAGGCATAGTAATAACTGGTACCCACTGATTTTTGTTTAATATCTGAGATTTGGCATTACCTATGCTTTTACTCTATATTCTTTTTCCCTTGCTTGAGACAAAGATCACACATAATATTTTTATAAAACTCAGTCTTCATTGCTCATTTACTAAGCCTTCTACTATTCAGCAAGCAGCATAGTATTGTAGAAGTGCACTACACTGTAAGTCAGAAGACCTGGATGCTCTCCTGGTTTTTAATATCTACTAGCTCTATAACATTAAGCAAGTGAAATAAACTCTGATCCTCACCGTCCTCATTTGTAAAATGGAAATAATGATATTTATCCTGTTTTTATAGGGCATTTTGCAACAATATTGAGATCATGTATTTTAAAGTATTACCTTAAAGGTATAATCAGATGTAATTTTAAAGTATTTACAAAAGGCTTTATTACTTAAATATCCAGATTCATCATTATTACATATATTCTAATTTTGAAACCATTAAAATATGGTCATAGTTGAATTCTGTTGCGCATAAGTCTTTTAGTTTACTTATTCTTACTTCCAGTTTTTTATCTATGTTTTCATTTGCACTCACAGTCCCACTTACCCCATACAAAAATATACCATAAAGCCTTCACCTGCAAATCCACCATGAATTTGTTCTTCTTTCATGCCGTATGCATTTATACTCTATATCATACTGCTTAATAATTATTTTCCAAATTTCTCCATACATGTTAGTATTTTCTCTGAAAGTGGAGTGATCTTTGTGGGTTATCAATTCCTTGTCATTGGAAATTATACCTTTAAATGGCATTTAATGAGTTACAACTATGTGCTAGACTGTGTTTTAAATGCTTTACCTGTACCAATGCATTCAATGCTTACAACTGTCCTGTGAGTTATGTACCATTATTATCTCTATTTTAGTGAATTAAAAACTGAGGAACGAAGAGGCTTAGTAACTTGCCCAATGTCAGACAGCTAGCATCAAGGACAAAGATTCAAACACAGGCAGTCTACTACCACAACCCAAGTTCTTAATTTACTATACTACTCTGCCTAACCATTTTTTCAATAAAGTTTCAGTTATATAAGATGAAAAGGTTCTAGAAATCTGCTATACAACTTTGAGCCCATAGTTAACAATATTGTGTTGTGCACTTTAAAAATTTGTTAATAAGGGAGATTTCATGTCAAGTGGCCTTAGATACATATAAAAAGAGAGAAAGAAAAGAAGCAAGTGTTTATTATTAATGAGTTTTCATTTACTTTTAAAAAGACAATTAAACTGCATGCTTAAAATTATTAACTATAAAGCCTATAATTTCAGTCTGAACATCTTAAAAACATTGTATAGCATCTTAGAATGCTGATATTAGAAAGCTTTCATGTTTGTAAGTCCTAATGGCAATATAATATCTAGTGGCATTAATGTGCCAGTCTTCTGACACGTGGCTTTGGTCACCAACTGTCCTTTCAAACCTGGTCACCTACCCAAACTTTCTTTCATTATACATTTAACTTTTTATTTTGCTCAGAAAATATGGTTTCCATATCTTAAAAATATAAGTTTTAATCTGAAAGGAATAATCTGTATTTTAATCTCCAGAATAAATATAAATGGTTTTGTGTATTCATCTCACACTGTAAACTTTGATTTCCTTGGTTATAAATTTTCCTGATTTCATGCTACTCACCTGACTTTGCATTATAATTTTACTTGGTCTTTTAAAAAAATTAAATGTATCTCTCAATATCTACCTCTTACTGCAGTTTACTGTGGGCGCCGCCGGGGGGAGAAGAGGGGCGCTTGGGAGCAGCCCTGCTCCCTCCCGAGAGGCACAGAGGGCGGGGCCTCGGTGAACGGCTTTCTTGCTGGCCGTTTGCAGAGGTTTAGATTCAGGATTTGTTCCTAGTGTCCAAGACTTTGACAAGAAACTGACAGAGGCTGATGCTTACCTACAGATCTTGACAGAACAACTAAAGCTTTTTGACAACAAGCTTCAAAACTGTAAAGACGATGAACAGAGAAAGAAAATTGAAACTCTCAAGGAGACAACAAATAGCATGGTAGAATCAATTAAACACTGCATTGTGTTGCTGCAGATTGCCAAAAGTACTATTAACCCTGTTGATGCAATATATCAACCTAGTTCCTTGGAGCCTGTGATCAGCACAATGCCTTCCCAGACTGTCTTACCTCCAGGCAGCGGGCATTCACCACCTAGTAGAAGTCTGACTTCTCCAAGACATGTCAACTTGTCTCCAAATACAGTCCCAGAGTTCTCGAACTCTAGCAGCGAAGACGAGTTCTATGACGCTGATGAGTTCCATCAAAGCAGCTCATTCCCAAAGCGCTTAATAGATTCTTCTGGATCTGCCTCAGTCTTGATCCACAGCAGCTTGGGAAATAGCCTAAAGCGTCCAGATACCACGGAATCACTGAATTCTTCCATGTCCAATGGAACAAGTGATGCTGACCTTTTTGATTCATATGATGATAGAGATGACGACAGGGAGGCAGAGTCCATGGAGGAGCACAAGAGTGTCATCATGCACCTCTTGTCACAGGTTAGGCTCGGAATGGATCTTACTAAGGTAGTTCTCCCAACATTTATTCTTGAAAGAAGATCTCTTTTAGAAATTCATGCAGACTTTTCTGCACATCTGGACCTGTTTGTGAGCATTAGTGACCAGAAGGATCCCAGGGATCATATGGTTCAGGTCGTGAAATGGTACCTCTCAGCCTTTCATGCAGGAAGGAAAGGATCAGTTGCCAAAAAGCCATACAATCCCATTTTGAGTGAGATCTTTCAGTGTCACTGGACGTTACCAAATGACACTGAAGAGAACACAGAGCTAGTTTCAGAACGACCTGTTCCTTGGGTTTCTAAAAACAGTGTAACATCCGTGGCTGAGGAGGTTTCCCATCATCCACCAATTTCAGGCTTTTATGCTGAGTGTTTTAACAAGAAGATACAATTCAATGCTCATATCTGGACCAAATCAAAGTTCCTTGGGATGTCATTTGGGGTGCACAACATAGGGCAGGGTTGTGTCTTGTGTCTAGACTATGACGAACATTACATCCTCACATTCCCTAATGGTTATGGAAGGTCTATCCTCACAGTGCCCTGGGTGGAATTAGGAGGAGAATGCAGTATTAATTGTTCCAAAACAGGCTATAGTGCAAACATCATCTTCCACACTAAACCTTTCTATGGGGGCAAGAAACACAGAATTACTGCTGAGATTTTTTTCTCCAAATGATGAGAAGTCTTTTTGTTCAATTGAAGGAGAATGGAATGGTATAATGTATGCAAAGTATGCAACAGGGGAAAATACAGTCTTTGTAAATACTAAGAAGTTGCCTATAATCAAGAAGAAAGTGAGAAAGTTGGAAGATCAGAATGAGTATGAGTCCCACTGCCTTTGGAAGGATGTCACTTTCAATTTAAAAATCAGAGACATTGATGCAGCAACTGAAGCAAAGCACAGACATGAAGAAAGGCAAAGAGCAGAAGCCTAAGAATGGAAGGAAAAGGAAATCCGGTGGGAGACAAGGTTAGTCCATGAAGATGGAAAATGCTGGGTTTACGATGAACCATTACTGAAACGTCTTGGTGCTGTGAAGCATGAGGTTGGGAAACACAGAGTTCATGCCTGATGACCCAGGTGGTAGCTCCGCCTAATGAAGCAACAAACAATCTTCCTTTGGGAAAACCTATTGCTCCCTTCTTACTGCAGTGGTTCCTATCTCAGGGATACTGGACTTTATGATGCAGATGAAAAATTAAAGGAGGAAAAGCTTCTTTTTTCCTCTGGCAGTTACAATTTTGACTTCAGTCCTGAGAAAAAAACCTTCAGGTTTTGAAACAAGATGTCTGCTCTTTTCCAAACCCCATGCTTTGAAAAGCATTTATAAACCCAAATCTCATACTCTGCACTCTAGTTTTGCTT